AGTGCTGTGATTAAGGGTGTGCACCACCAAAACCCTGCAACAAGGATATTTCAAAGCACAGTCCCAATCTGAATGCTCTGCACAGTCACAGCCATCAGACAGTACATACTCAAGAGTCTGCCATCTTGCCCAGAGAATTCCAAAGACCATGGACAACACAAAAATGCAGTGGGGCACACAGGACCATCAGAACCATGCAGGACAACACAAGATCACAGAGAAATAAACTGGGGCACATAGAACCATTAGGACAATGCAGGCCAACACAAGACCAGGCAGTAACATGGCAAAGTCTGCTCCTGGCCACTTCCTCCCACCCAGCCTTTGCATGACCCTCCACACTGGTTCCCATAGCTTGACTGGGCACTTCTCCCAGTCTCAGGATAGTAGCCCCAAGCTCACCATATTGTGGTTTCCTGGCTCCTATATGCTCAGTTTCCTGCAGCAGCACTCACAGTGAAAGACCCCCAGAGTGGGGAGTCCCTCACTCAAGTCTTGGGATAAACCAATGCCCCAATAATTCAAGAGAGACCATTCTTGATGCAAGCACAGGAGGTTTATTCAGGGAACCAGTTCAACTGGGGCCAAGCTCATGACCCTCACAGGGGTAGAGGAGTTTGACCTCCAGTAGCTGTAGTCAGGAGTTTTAAAAGGGAAAAACCATAAAGAATGGGGGAGTTAGGTAAACATCATAAACATAACAGAGGAGGAAGTTAAATGATAGCTTATATCTTAACAGGAAGGTTATCTCAAGTAAGCATTCGTTAGGCATTGTAGAGTTAAACATTGAGCAGAAGCGTGATGAGATAGTTCTTGGATCAGGGAGTGTTATCTTTTAAGTTTATCTTGAGGTCTCCGGTTTCTCAGGAGGGGGCAGAAGGACAAGTTACTCTGTGATGGGATAGTCACTAGGGGTCTAAAAATGTTGAGTTGGGATCTTTAACAGCACAGCACACAAGACCACCAGAACATTTTCTCTGTAAAGCCAAGCCTGAAAATGGTGACAGGTAGGATCCAGCACAACTTCTGACTGGCAGATAGCCTGTAGGGACTGATTGTCTCCTGAAGCCTGAGTGACAAGAGCCTCTCCAATAGGCTCACACTGTGTTTAAGACACTGCACATTGGTTCCAGATACTGCCTTCTAACCTGGAAAAGACCTTTTCTGAATCAGCAGAGATGTGCATTTCAATAGCATTTGCATCTGACTGGAACAGCAGACTCTGCTCTTTCTCTCTCCCTGATCTCCTTAGGTGCTTCCTCAGCCCTCTGTATTGTGTGCAGTGCAGTGAATTTCTGTCACACCGGTGAAATAGCAGTCAAAATATTTACAAGTAAAGAGTGATTTCAGGAAACAATAGGAAAGGTTTGTTATGATGCTTCACACTGAGGTCAGGTGACCTGAACTTGCTGTTTATCCCATTGCAATAGGGACTTCAGGCAACCAGGAAAGAAAATCAGGACCTAGATCTCAAACAAGATAATGGAACTCTCTCCCTACCAAAAGGTGGATGATGGCTCCATTGCTTTAGAAGTTTCATTCCTGAAATTCAGAGCAAAATGTTGACAAATGAATAGTAATACAGAGTAGCCCTCATGGAATGCTTAATACTTAGAGAATAAATTAATAAGGAAAAAGTAAGTTTAGGATCACTATTGTTAAATATAAAACACATTTGCATTATTCATGGTTCTCTATATCAACAGGACTGGTAGAATTAATTACTCCATATATGTGGAAATGGATTTATTAGAATGTCTTAGGTGTTGGCCCTGATAGTCGAATAATGGTTGCCTTCCAATTAAAATTTGAAGAATCAAGGTGTTTTTCTGTTCATGAGGCTGAATATCTCAGTTGGTCTTCAATACACACCAAAATCTCAAGCAAGTGGCTCTGTTTCTGATAAAGGAATGAACATATATATATATGTTGCTACCAGAAGATCTGATTCAGATGAAAGATGGATCATAATATTTGTTTGATAGGTTGATTTTTTTTTTTTGGTATTTTCCGGACCGGGATTTTCTATGCAGCCATGGAACACATTCTGTGGACCACTGCTGCCTGGAGCTCAGAAAATCCAAATGCTTCTGCCTCATGAGTGTTGGGGTTAGAGATGAGCAGCTGAAGGTGGATATCACCTCATGTGATCCAGATTAAATATGAATCTTTAGTTTCAAAAACTGTTGTATAATCCCACAGAGGTGTATCCAACTCTTGGGTTTCAGTCAATTCCTATGGTAGTCAATTTGACTACCAAGAATAGCCATCACAACAACTTAAGCAGAAGAATTGAGAAAGACTTCTTGACTGAAGGAGGCAGGGGAAGCCTGGGAGTTATTTGCAAAACAACACTTTTCCTATGCAAAGAAGCATGTCATGGCTATTCTATACAGCCCACATCACTACCTCTAGAATTACCTAACTCAGTTCCCTGGGGGCATTCTTTGATTGATTATCTGTCTGGCTCTGATTTATTTAAACTGGGGGCAGGGGCAGGGGATATAGACATGGTTTCTGAGTAGTTATGAAGCCCATCCTGGAACTCTCTTTGTAGACCAGGCTAGTCTTGAACTCTAAGAGACCCATCTGCCTCTGCCTCCCATGTGCATCATTTTCTTACTAAAGGTTTAAAATAGGAACACTAATCTTTAATGTAGACCTTCAGAGGTGATAAAATCCATCTTTACCAGCTTCAAGTTGGTGCACATCTTTAATCCCAGCCTGATTAAAGTCTGAGGCCTGCCATGTCTACAGAATATGAAGCAGGGCTATAGAGATAAATGCTGTCTCCAAAAACAAAAAAAAAACAAAAAACAAAAATATCCATCTGTAATCTGGTTGACACCTTATGGCTGCAGTGTATATATAGAAGGGATATAGAAGAAAGAGAGGTCTTTCTCTTTGCCTGCTTGCCCTAGCCCTGGCTACTAAATTTATTCCTTTAAAAGCTTTAGAGCCCACTTCCTTGAAATGTATACTGAGGAGCAGCTGAGACTACTGGACTCTTCAACTTTCTATTGGTAGACAGCCATTGTTGGACCAGCTGTGACACAACCTGTGAGACATCCTAATAAATCCACTTTCTACAAAAACAGAGAGATTCATCCTGCCAGTCCTGTGCAAGTAGAGAACCCTGAATGATGCAAGTGTTTTCTCACCTGCCCACTGAGGAAGATGTGCTGGCTCAGCATAGTGTTCTTGAAGAAATTCTTCCTAGCCACATTCTCTCTGAGAATTCTACTGACCATGAAGCCTATGATTATTTTTTCTTTTCTTTTTTTCGGGTAGAGGGAGGATTTGAGAGAGGATTTCTCTGTGGCTTTGGAAGCTTTACTGGAACTTGTTTTTGTAAACCAGCCTCGTCTTGAACCCACAGAGATCTACCAGCCTCTGCCTCCCAAGTGCTGGAATTAAAGGCATGCACCACTACAACCCAGCAAAACTACACTTCTTATTATTGTTCATTTATCAAGATTTTGACATGAATTCCAGGAAGTAATCTCCCAATGCAATGGTGCAGTCGCCCAGGCTTCTGGCAGAAGAGAGACAGATCATTTTCTTTGTGATCTGGTACCTGTATTTCTCTCATGGTTGTCTGAGGTGCCGGTGACTACCAGGTAAATAGTAGACTCAGTTGTCCTGAACTCAGCAAGAAGACACAGAAGAAACATGCTCTTATAATTTTTGGGGGGGTGGGGTTCCAGACAGGGTTTCTCTGTGGCTTTGGAGGCTGGCCTGTACGTAACTCTTGTAGACAAGGCTAGTCTGGAACTCACAGATATCTGCCTGTCTCTGCATCCAAGGGCTGGGATTAAAAGCATGTGCCACCACCACCCAGGTCAAATGTCTCTTTGTCCTAAAAATATCTCTTTATTTTTATTTTATTTTTGATTTGTTTTTTGTTTGTTTGTTTTTTTCAATGCAGGGTTTCTCTGTATTGCTTAGGAGCCTGTCCTGGAACTGGCTCTATAGTCCAGGCTGGCCTTAAACTCACAGAGATCCACCTGCCTCTGCATCCAGAGTGCTAGGAATAAGCTGTGCACCACCAATGCCCAGTACAAGCATCATTTTGTCCTAAAAAATCACTTTTATTTTTAATATCCTGGACTCCTTTCAAACTGTTGAATAAGAGAATCATTTCAGTCTGTTTTATGTAATGGTTTGTGCAAGCTAGGCACATTGTTTAGACGAGGAAGAGGATGAATCTGTGAACTACAGAAAGAGAGCTGGGTCATCTAATGGGACAGGCATAAGTGATATTCAAATTTGAGTCTCTGCAGTTCTCTAAAAGGTCCAGGTCTAGAGTAGAAGCCAGGTACAGGGAACCTGTGCTGTGTCTCAGGGACCAAAATTTAAAATTAATAAAGGTTTTCCCTGGGTCCTAAATCTATACAGAGAAAATGGAAATTCTATTGGAAAAGGAAACTCTTTAAATAAGGAGTGCAATGGCTGGTGCCTGAGCCCCTGCTGTCAGAGAAGGGGAGATAAAATGTCCACCAGTCCTGCTAACATTCCTTGCTAATTGCTGGTCATAAAGATCCCCTGACAGCTGTAAAGATCCCCAGGCCCAGGGGATTGCTGACAGAAACTCTGACTCCATAACCCTGGGAGCCCATGCCTTGTCTTATCTTACTCAAATGTATCTTGCTTAAAAGTTAGAGTTACTGCTTTACTCTCTACCTTGTATGCCCTTAAGCAACCAAGGAAACTGAAACTTGTGGACTGCCCTTTAAAAGCTTCTGTTTGTGGCTGGTGGGCATCCCATTTCCTCCACCATGGAAAGAGATCCTGCTGGACAGCTGAACAATAAATGGAACCTTTTGCTTTTGCATCAGAGTGTCAACTCCTCAGGGTAGTCCTTGGGATTCTGCAAACCTGGCACAACAGTGCCTTTAAGCACACTCTAACCCTTAAAGAAGAACTCTTGCCAATCAAGCCTCACTAGCCAATCAGGGACTCCAGGCCAACCCGCCAGTCACATTTCTTGTAGGACACTTCCTGGAGTCATGCTGCAGGCTTGGTTTTACAGCAGATCAGGCACTAGTGGATTGATTGCTGTGCACTGAGTGCTGCTGTAGGTGACGTTAGGGAAGCATGGATAAGCACAGAAGCCACAGCATGGTGAGCAAAGGGATGCTATCCCAAGGTGGGGAGGACAGAATTCAGAGGCATGGGAGACCATGTGGCAGGTCCTACAGGAGTTTGGGTGGGATCCTGATGCCACATCCACTGTTGTGAGAGGTCCCATGTGGTCCTAGCAACTCCTCAGATCCTGGGTGTTGGCCTGTGTAACGTCCTGTAAGAACACCCTACTCACTGGGCAGTGGTGGTGCACGCCTTTAATCCTTGGCCTTTAATCCTTGCACTCCAGAATCACAGGTGCAGCTGGATCTCTGCAAGTTCAAGGGCAGTCTGGTCTACAGAGTGAGTTCCAGGACAGCCTGCAAAACTACACAGAGAAACTCTGTCTCAAAAAACCAAACCAAACCAAACAAAACAAAACAAGAATTTCTAACCCTTAAGGAAGTACTCTTGTCACTCAATCCTCACCAGCTAATCAGGGACACCAGTCCAAACCATCAGTCACAAGTCTTGCAGGACACTTCCTGGCACCATGTGCAGGCTTGATTTTACAGCAGAACAGGCACCACTGGATTGATTGCTGTGCTGTGAGTGCTGCTATAGGGAATTGTGAGTGAAGCATGGATGAGCATGGAATCCACAGCATGGGGAGCTAAGGGATGCTATCCCAAGATGAAGAGGAGGGGTTTGGGAGTCATGGGAGACTGTGGCAGGCCCTCTGGGAGGCTGGGCGAGAACCTGTGGACACATTACGTGTTCTGTAAGATCTGGTGTTGTCCTAGCAAGTCCCCAGATCTAGTGCTGGCCTATGAATGCTTCATTCTGTGGGCTGCATCTGTAGAAAGCATTTCCATCAGGGAGATTTGTATAGAAACATTTTTGTTGTCAACACCAACCTGCTTTTGGTACACATGGAAGGCAAATTTGAAACGTGGAGAAGACTAGTTTTTCTAGTTTCTTCTAGAAGTTCTGTCCTGCAAATTTAAGATTCAATTGCAATTAATTGTGTGCATGCTGTAAATGAAATTCTATTAATTTCTTTTTTATATTTATTTATTTTTGGTTTTGTGAGGCAGGAATTCTCTGTGTATATTTGGAGCCTGACCTAGACCTTGGTCTGTAGATCACCCTATCCCCAATCTCATAGAGATCTGCCTGCATCTGCTTCCCAAGTAGAGCAATTAAAGTCATGGGCTACTAAAGACATCTGTAAATTGCATACTTGTTTTGGATTGCACTTCACTACTCAGCTGTTATGTGACAAAGTAGAAGTGTTCATATACAGAAGTTACCCATTCTTAGGGAATGTCAAGTCCCACAAAATAGAATGACCTGAGGAAGTACTGAGTCTAAAATAACCCAAAGATAAGTAGCATGCTAACTAGGCCTGTTAGAGTTTAGGATGCTAAAATACACATTTGTTCTCCTGTATTATCCAGACATTTGGCTCCAAACCATGACAAATGAAAAAAAAAAACCTGATTTATAAACAGCCCCTAGGCCCATCCCCATATCACACAACAGGTCATTTACAACCTGTTCCAGGGGGCGTTACTGGGTCACAGTGAACATTAAGGCATGGTCTTCAAAAAAGGTATAGTTTTCTTCTAGAAAATTTTATAGTTCTGCAAGATTAGCAAGATGAGATCAGGTGACAACTGTTTGAAAAAGAAAACACTGTTGTTTTGAATTTTGAATAGAGCAAGCAAAATTTCTGGATAGGTCTCCAGTTAAGGAAAAGGAACATGGCTCCTTTGAAATCCAGGGAACATGCTTGGTGGAGCAAGTAACTGAATGGGGTCCTGGCCCTAGGAGTTTTCCATGAGGGTCTTAGGTATCGAGAACAAAATAGAGGTCCTCCACTAAAACTAGGAAGATGCTTGGAGAGAATTTAATGGTCTGGAGCCCCGGAATTCACGGAGAGGCTGCTGCAGATACAAGAACACAACTCTCCCCACGACATGGAGCTGTGGTTATGGGTCCCAAGGCCACTGTGGGGTTAGTCAGTTATGTTCTTGTGACACCCGGTGTTTCCCTTTTACTACATTGTTCCATTAGCCTTTTCTTGAGTTTTCCCCATTGCATGATAATTTCTGCTGGCTTCCTAGATGTCTCCTGTTTCCCTCCATTTCTTCCTGGAATTAGAATACAAGAAGCTATTCCTCTTAATAAGCTTACCTAGAATAAGACACAGCTTAAGAAAGACCTCTCTACCCCAGCTTTAATCTTTTCTTTGTTCTGCTTTGCCTCTCTTGCTCATCTACTAGCTCCTGTACCTCAGAAGCTGTCATTAAAAGATGATATGGTCCTGTTACTCATGTACTATGAAATAATTATGTTAATATCTTTCTGTTGAAGTCTTTCCTTTATCTAACTGGCCTGAATTACAGTTTCCTGTTAATATTTAACTTCTTCATTGTGTAAGCTACCAAGCCACTCAATCGTGTATAAAGACTGGTTTAGGTATCCCACCATAAGTAGTGCGCTCCAAAAAGACAATTTTTGGACCTAGGACGGATCCTGTTTTACTGCCAGCCACCCCCCCTACAAACCAAGTCTCATAACTGTCACCCACATTTGCAGGGTCTAATTTAGTCCCATGAATGCTGCTCAGCTCTCAGTCCATAGTCTGTGAGCTCACACAGTGAAGTGTGGCTTTGTTGGAGTGGACTTTTCCCTGCTAGAAGAAGTATGTCACTGTGGGGTGAGGCATTGTGTTTCTCATACTCAGGATGTTGCCCAGTGTGTCACTCAACTTCCTGTGGCCTCTGAGTCAAGTTTTAAGGACTCTGACCTTCAATACCACATCATCCTGCATGTTGCCATGCCACTCCCATGATGGTGATTAACTGAACTTTAATTTTAAGGACGATACCTCAGTAAAATATTTTCTTTGTAAGTATTGACATGGTTCATTGTGTCTCCACAACAACAAAGAACAACAAAGACAGATGTCGATACCAGGGACTGGGATATTACTATGATAGGCTAGTATTATCATACAATTTCTCTGATATGTTCTACGTAGTGTTGATCTGCTACCTTACCTATCTCTTTATGTCTGTCCATTGGGATTTCATTCTCAAGGCTATATGTTACTTAAAGTGCCAAGAAATTGTGCATGTGAACCTTCTAGTCAGTCTCATTCCAAAGTGAATGGGTAAATATGTTGTAATGTCCATGTCATGAAATAAGTATGGGAAGTACCAGAATTATATGAATATATTGTCAAAAAAGAATATATTTACAATGTCAGTATCACAATTCCAGGTTTACATATGTATGCGTTATTTTAGAATGCAGTGACCTATGATGATGTGCAAATCCACTTCACCCAGGAGTGTGGGCTTTGCTGAATCCTTCCCAGAAAGAATCTACAAAGATGTGATGCTGGACACCTACAGAAACATCATTGAAGTAGGTGAGACTGAATTTTCCTTCATGATTTAATATAAGGGGACAACAGATACTTGGTAATTGATACTTTTCTGTAGTTTTCATTGAGAAAGGGAAAATTAAATGAATAACTCATAGTTCTAGTGTTCATTGAACATTAACTTAAATTTTCTGTAATTTCCATTAACATATCATCTTTTGTCATAGTGTATTTTAGGCTACAGTTGGGAAGACCAAAATTTTGAAGAATATTGCCAAAGTTCTAGAAGACATAGAAGGTAATTTTTATGTACAAGTTTAAACAATTTTGCCTCTGAGGATATGTTAATACATCCTAGAAATTTTAAGGAAAAGCAACAATGTAAATAAGCACAGCTTAAATTATATTAATGAAGAAAATAGTCTATAGTAAAGCTGTCATTATTCATACATTTGGGAATTTCCTAAGATTATTGAAAGGGTCAGTTTAAAAGAGTCAAGAGGGTTGTTGTGGAGAAACCTTAATCCCTATACCACATGTCTGTGAGAAAAAGAAAGGCAAAATGTGACTTCACTATGGAAATATTTCATTTGTTATTCTTCCTTTAGAAACAATAGCTTTTCCCGTGGGATAGGGATAGTGCTTACCTTTACTCCCAGGAGTTGAGAGGCAAAAGCAGTGGATCTCTGTAAGTTAGAGGCCATCCTGGTCTGCAGAGGAAGTTCCAGGAGAGGATCCAAAGGAATACAGAGGAACACTGTCTCAAAAATCCAAGAAAAAAAAAAGGATATCATTTGTCACTATAAATACACACAATTTGAGCATAGAATATGGAAATAAGAAATGTACTGTCTGTCTGTCTGTCTCTCTTAGGACAATTAGAAAATATGAATGAAATTCTGCTGTCACCATTTTGAGGAGATTTGTTGAATATGATATGAGTTTAAAATTAATTGATTTTCTGACTTCTATGGAAAGACATAAACAAATTCCCATTGCAGAAAAGCCTTATGAGTTTTGGAATACGTGAATGTTTCCATTTCTCCTGTTACAATCTGCCAATGCAGTATGACTCACACTATAGGAAAACTTATTAATGCAATACCTATGGCAAAGCTCTGTTTTCCTCTAGTTTTTTTAAATATATGAAAATTCTCATATAAAAAGATGCCATGAATGTGGGCCATGAGAATCATCAAATACACAAAAACAACCCTTCATGAAAGGAAGCATCATGGATATGAAACTTAAGATCTGTTTCTTCCTTACAATTAGGCCAATTTGTATAATTAAGCCATACAGACACTAAGTTTCTTCAGTATACTGAATGTGGTAAAGCTTTTACATGTACCAATCATCTTTGCAGGTAAAAATGCAGCCATACTTGGAAGGAACCCTGTGAATAAACTCAATGTGTTAAAACCTGTGTGTGTTACAGGCATCTTCAACAGCATGAGAAAACTAATACTGGATAGAAACCATATGAAAGTCTTCAATATGGTGAAGTCTTTCCATGTCACAGTTGTCTACAACTCCTTAAAAGAACACATACTGGAGGGAAAACACATGAATGTAATCAAAGTGGTAAACCTTTTGCAAGTTATATAAGAACATATATTTGCAAAAAAACCCTGCAGATATAATCTGTGTGGTAAAGGCTTTGCAAGTAACAGTGTGCTCAAAACATATATTGGGGAGAGACCTTGTGGATATAATCAATGTGGTAAAGCACATGCAAGGCGTGGTCATCTTCAAAGACATAAAAGATCACACATGGGAGAGAAACCTTATGAATGTAATCAATGTGGTAAAGCCTATGCTTATCAATATCATCTTCAAGTACATAAAAGAACACACACTGCAGAGAAACCCTACAACTGCAATCAATGTGGTAAAATCTTTTCAAAGATCACTAATTTCCAAGTACATAAAAAAAACACACTGGAGAGAAACCCTATGAATGCAACCAGTGTGGTAAAGCTTTTGCAAGTCACGGTGAGCTTAAAAGACATATAAGAACACACACTGGAGAGAAACCCTATATATGTAATCAATGTGGTAAAGCCTTTTCACATGTCAGTAGTCTGAAAACACATGAAAGAACACATACAGGAGTGAGACCCTATGAATGTAATCAATGTGGTAAGGCTTTTGCACCACAAGGCAGTCTTGTAAGTCATAAAAGAACACACACTGGAGAGAAACCCTATGAATGTAATCAGTGTGGTAAAGCCTTTGCACAACTCACCAACCTTGTAAGTCATAAAAGAATACATTCTGGAGAGAAACTGTATGAATGTAATCAATGTGGTAAAACCTATTCACATGTTGGCAGTCTTCAATATCATAAAAGAACACATACTGGAGTGAAACCCTATGTATGTAATCAATGTGGTAAAGCTTTTATAAGTCATAGTGATCTTAAAAGACATAAAAGAACACACACTGGAGAGAAACCCTATGAATGCAATCAATGTGGTAAAGATTTTGCAAGCCATAGTGATCTTAAAAACATAAAAGAACACACACTGGAGTGAAACCTGATGAATGCCATCAATGTGGTAAAGCATTTTCACAACACAGCCATTTTGTAAGGAACAAAAGAACACATACTTGAGAGAGATCCTGTGAATCTAATCAACATTCTAAAGCCTTTGTAAGTATTATCAGTCTTTAAAATCATGAATAAAATCATACTGAAGAGAAACTATAAATGTAAGCAGTATGATAAAATTGAGGGCCTGAGAAATCTCATAATGAAGGGAATCTTACTATAAAGGATTTGGTGTGGGCTTCAGACAACACACAAAATTAATACAAGACTCTGGAGAGAAAAAAATCTGAAAAGTGTCAACTGTCTGTTCAAAAATTATGATGTCTCTATTTTGTTTGCACCTGCAAACTCATACAGAAAAAAGTCCTACAATTTCATTGGTAAGGTAACCCTTTTTGATTTCACACTTTTAATTTAATTAGATAAAAAACCTCATTCAGATCGATTATTTCTCAAAATTTAATCCTATGTGCTTACTTCTATTACATGAACCAATTCGTGATGAACTGTTAAAACATTAAATGCCTCAAAAGCTTGGTTATAGGTGTGACTGCTTACAAGAAAAAGTATTCATGGGTGGAAATCTGTTTGCTTAGAGATTTGATTTAGTTTTAATTAAGCGATGTCAGTGTGTGTGTTTGCTACTGCTCATGCTTGTTCCAAAGAAGGTTAGATCAGTGAGTATTCCTGTAGCAAAATTTACAGAAAGTTCTCAAAACCCTGACCTCGGGTCTGGCAATGAACTTGTCATTATTTTGGCCATCCATATCTTTAACACTGTACATATTTTAAATCATTTTGTATCATGTTTATATCAGGTAATAGGGAAGAACTCATGGAAGAGAAAACCCTATTCATATAAACAATTTTGTAAATACTTCATACTTGTCTTTATTTTCAATAAAAAAAGTTTTGTGTGAAGGTGGGGTGATAGTAAGTTCACCAGACCTGAAATTAATGATGAATGGATGTTTTATTGGGGAACAAGTTACACAGATAATATTAAGGAGTTGTCATAGCCTTACTGCTCCAGAAGATGCAGTCTCTGTCATTCTGACACATTCGGCAACCCAGGAGAGAGAGAGAGAGAGAGAGAGAGCAAGTGAGAGAGAGCCAATCCCATGCATCTCCACCCTCATTTGTGGTACACAGAACCAAATGAACAGCACAGGAAACTCATAAATTTCCCTCATATCTGACCGGCAGATCAGCTACAGGCTCTGATTGGTTAGTGAGGCCTGAATGGCAGGACCAGGGGAGCAGAAGACACTTAGCACAATGGTTTAATCTGAGCAAAAAAATCCCTGTATGGCTCCAGGAGAACAGAAAACATGAGATGAATCCTGAGCTGGGGCTTATTACACTCCCCACCCCAATTGTGGAGCCAGCAATAGTCAGGTTTAGGGCCAGTGCCTGGACTGAAGTGACTCCAGGTGAGGGTCCATTCTTGGCACCTTGAGGAGAGGGATTGGAACATGCTACCAAACATTCCAACCTCTTTGCATAGAAAAAGATGTTGGTAGAGGTTCCACCTAATCTACCCAGACTCCCTGTGTTTACGGCATCAGTTTAAGTCTGGCTTCTTCCTACAGATGAGAGAAGATGTAGGGAGGAGGCACTTGAAGCATCATCAACTCTTTGAGGCCTGGCACTAGAGCACCTCCCCCAAGATCATGACCTATGAATCAGAAACTTCTGTTAGAGATTGGACCTAAACATCATGTGATACACTGTACAGATGAGCAGCCCTGGAAGGATAGGCTTAGGACCATTATTGGGAATTCAGAGTGTGAACCTTGTGTGAAATGACCTTCGGCATACTGAAATGTAATAGTAGCTAGGCATATCTACCTTCCTGCTCACAAAAGTTAGGATCATTTTCTATGAGTGCTGATTGCTTTAAGTCTTCACGAGATAAAGAAAGGAAACTTTTTCCAAACCAAATGCTAGAGGACAGACTTTTAAAGAAAGAATGTGTGATTTCTATTAAAAACCTAAAACAACTTGTTTTGCCCAAATTGCTTTATGGATCAAAATAACTTTTGAAAACAAATGTATCCCTGTTTTTATGTGTATGTCTGTATGTTTGAGAGAATGTCTTCCATGTTTGTACAGGTGACACACCAGAAAAGAGCCTATCAGATCCCCTGAACATGGAGTAGCTAGTAGTTATGTGTCTCTTAACTTGAGTGCTGGGATCTGAACTCAGGTCATCACCAACAATATGTGCTAAGCCACCTGCCAAGCTCAATAATACTTTTCATCCAAAATTCTAAAAGTCTCTCACAGACAATCAAAACATAAATAAAGTATGTAAATGATCCTTGGGAAACTGACACATCAATATTGACATGTGTTTATGGTCAGTTTGCACCAAAAATTGAATACAATCCAAAGACAATGCTCAACAAATAATAAGAGAAAAGCTGATTCCAAAGCTACATGCCAAGTGGAAACTCTCAGAATGCTCAGTGCAATTATTAAAAAAATAAAATAACAGAACACACATTCATACAATATGACTTCTGCATTTATGAAGGAAGCTATAATAATCAATAATGTATAAAATATTGTAAAAGAAAAGAGGATGGTGAGAAAAAAGGCAAAACAAAAGCAGAAGAATCACATCTTAACCAAAATACCAAGGAAACTCATCCAAACACAGCTGCCTATGATTCCATGTGTACAGAAATTATAAACACAGATTTCACAACTTTAACTAAATCAATTAAATAAACTGTTAATTTTCTGTACCTCCAGCTACAGATATTTCTCCTAGAGGGCCTCCATGCTCTAGAGCCCTCTGAGGAAATATAAGTGATCTCCAGAGCCTTCTATGACTCTACAGCCCCTCATGCTCCTTTGTGGTTTCATGTAAACCCAGCCCCAATGATGTCCTATCAAAAAAATGTGAAGAACAATTTATTGTCTGTTTCCCACCACATGGATGAGGTCACAAATTGTGGCATCATTCCTATTTATCTGCAAAATACTATGCTAACCTGAAATACCCCTACAGCTCAGAAATTCTTTTTGTGCCCTGTAATTGAACTTCACTGAATTCCACCATGGTGGCTGTCAGTAACAGAATTTGAAAAGGCATTCCAATTCTGTATTTCTAGAAGGTGGTGCCAATCCACTCCTTTCTATCAGTTTCTAAACTATCTGTGACATTTGTAAGCAAACCTGACATTGGAATAGTGTAACGTGCAGTCTTCACCCCTGCCGAGCTGTCTGAGCCCCCAAACAACAAAATACACTATATTAATTATTAAGCCATTGGCCGATGGCTAGGTTTCTGACTGGCAAGCTCTGATGTAAGTGTTTAACACATCATTGCTAATCTATTACTATGTCTCTTACTGTCCTGTTACCTGCGCCCCCAGTCTTACAAGGTGACTCCCTGAGCTCCTCTTCCCACTGAACAACAAAATAACACCTATGTGAGCACACTGAACAGTGATATTACCAGCTCATTGTCTCCCATGCCAGGATGGCAGAGCCTTTCCCTCCCCAGGGAATCCACACTCAACAAAGCTCAGAGGCAGGAAAGAGACAGTTTCAAAGTTAAAACAGGTGGCTGGAGAAATGGCTCATAGAATAAGAGATTTGGCTTCTCTTCCATGGGTCCTGAGTTCAATTCACAGCCCCCAAATGATGGCTCACAACCATCTATAACTAGATCTTTTACCCTCTACTGGCGTGCAGATGCACATTCTTGCAGAACACTGTATACATCATAAAATAGATAAATTCTTTTAAAAAATTGTAATAGGCTTTATTGATGAGTGCTCCAGAGACTTGGGATTTGTATTTGAGCATATCAATTAATACTCACACCATTTCTCTCTGGGCTGTCATTTTTAAACCTGGAAAAAACAGTCATGTTAGGCTGGACAACACCCTTTTATCCAGTTCTCCTATTTAAGTTGAAATGTTCTAACAACAGGAATTTGGTTTCATGAGCAGCTCTGTTCTTTGTATAGATTCTTGACTGCCTTATCCAGGAAACAGAAATGGCTAGTCAGGACACTAATGGAACATCTAAAATTTATTACCTGACTCCACATGACTAATGTCAACTATTGTCACAGCAGGGAATCTTTCTTCCTTCTACTTGTCCCTCACTTTTTGCCGTGTGACTACACCTGCATTTCAGTTGATCAGTGAATGAAATTCTTTCAGTTTCTCACTGC